TTTATTTATTTATTTATTTATTTATTTATTTATTTATTTTATATCCCGCCTATCTAGTCAACTCAGGACCACTCTAGGCAGCTAACAAGCAAAGAATAATAAAAGTAAACATATATAAGATAGCATAAATAATAAAAACCTTACAAAGATAGAAAACCAGTGGAGAGGGGAAGGAAAGGAACATCAGGAATTGTCTGGCGGGAAGGCCTGCCATAACATCCATGTCTTCAATCGATTCTTGAAGATACCCAGCGAGGGAGCCCCGCGAATCCCAGGAAGTAGATTGTTCCAGAGGCGAGGAGTCACCACCGAGAAGGCGGTGTTTAGGAATAACATTTAATTATTACACAGCCAGCCTTATTTCAATATTTTGTGACATTTCTCTCACAGGTTGATAAAAGCCCCCAAACTAAGTCACAGAAGAATAAAGTAATGAGAATCATTTAATTTCCATTGTACTTAAAATAAGGATAATGGCAGATATCAAGGAGAATGTATCATCATGATAATTTGTTTCCTTAAAAATATTAGCTGTATCAGTTATCTTGACATCCTTCAAACTCATATGCTGTGAGTCAACAACACAGATTCATTTGTTAAAAGTATTCTTTCCTGATATACCTATAGATAATCAGTCTCTGAAATTTGAGATTCTGCACTTTCATGACACTCTAATCAATGAAATGTTTAATTTGGGATAACCTTCTGTGTACTGTGCTGCATGAGCTAAAATCCATGAAGATCTATACTGAATACAGATCTTGACCTAAATCCAACTTGATACTCCTGGAAACTTGGAAATTTGGACCCCTCACTCTCCATCTCTTTTTGGCTGCTAAAAACATGCTCTCGAGGGTTTCCACCTCTCAGAGCAAGCTTTTGGGGGTGTTTGAGGTGATACAATGGACATTGGAGAACATGCTCCTACAATGCTAGATATTCCAGCACTGTATGCAACTCTTAATCTTTAAGACACTAAAAGCAAACAAAGAAGAAAAACCTATTGTTTTTGCTGCAAAAGACTAACAAGCCTATCCTGGACATTTCTTAAATCTACAGTGTTTCCAAGTTTGATTTCCTAGTTTGCATGATTTCTGTACTGTCTATTTAAGAAGGACAAAGGTTTCCTTCAAAACAAATCAGGTTTATTGAAATAACAAAATAAAATATGAAAATCACAAGTAGCTAATCACGATGTCAATCACTGTTTCTTATTTAATCAATCACAGACTTTCTGTCACTGAATACGTAGGCACACAGGCCTCTAAACAAGCTCTTTCTCACACTCCAGATCTGATCTTTCACTCTCTCTTCACATCCCTTTTTCTTCCAGCTCCTCCCTCTTCAGCCCCACCCTCCGTCACCCCATTGGCTGATGATTCACTGCCCAGCTGTGACGGACAGGTGAGGTCAAGGCTGCCTGTTACATTACCTCCCCCCTTAATAAGTCGTTTCATGGGAGAAAAGCTAAAGTGCTTTCTTCTCATGAACACAAAGCACAACAACAATACAATTAAACAATCAATATATCAAACAATTGCATAACCCTTAAATAAACCTCTTACCTGCATTATATTTTACACTTACATACTTTACCATTTCCAACGTTCCTTAATGCATATTATTAACAATTAGGTACAACATTTAAACATTTGCTCATATAACCAATAGCAATTTTACCTGGTACAAGCCCATCCAACTTTTATTACATATATCATATTAAAAGTCCAATTATTTCTTTTTCTCTTCAATCCTCGGGTCTTCTGGAAAAGGCATCTGCAGCACAGTTTTGAATCCCTTTGACCACTCGAACCTCAAAGTCAAAGTCCTGCAAAATCAAAGCCCACTTCATCAGTTTACTGTTGTTGGCTTTGATAGTCCTTAGCCACAATAGTGGGGAGTGATCAGTACATAAGACAAAATGTCTCCCCCAAATATATGGCTTCAGTTTCTGGACCGCAAACAAAATGGCAAGACACTCCTTCTCGATGGTGGACAGGTGTCTCTCCCCTTTTTGCAGCTTCTTGCTCAGGTAAGCAACCGGATGAAGATCTCCGCAGTCGTCACTCTGGCACAGCACGGCTCCTAACTTGGAGTTGGACACATCTGTGAAGATGGTAAACTCACAATGGAAATCCGGAGCTCGCAACACTGGGTTGGTGAT